ATATTTATTTAAGCATATGAATATGATTGTAATTCAAAGTTATAATTTTTTATTTTTATTTTTATTATAAGATATGAAATAAATTTTATTTTTTTGTAACACTAATATTAGAATAAATAGAATGCACGTGGCAGTACGTATCACATTGGTTATTTAACAAAGAGACTGCTCTATTTTTTGGGCATGAATGCACCAGCCCACACAGCCTCTTGATTTCTCCATTACTAGGGATTTAAGTCTACCAGCTCAAAATGGAGTGGGGAAATTTAAAATTAATGAACCAATAAATTTTAATTCGCTGATTAATTTTTTTTTAATTAGAAATAGGTAAGAATTATTCGGCTATTTAATTAAAAAAAATATATATTATCTAATTTCTTTTAGAATAAAAGCAAATCTAAAAATTTTTAAGACTAATAGATAATCTTACTAAATCTTAATATTCAAATTATATTCGAATTCACTCATAAACTCAGATCAGTTAAAATAATTATAGATTCAGTATCACATTAAACTAAATCATCAAGAAAATATTAATTATTAGTAAAATTAATTTAATTATTCTTTACATATGTATTTCAATTAACATGATTCAATGAACATAAACATATTCATGGTATATAATTAATTTGATTATTTATGCCTACTAATTTTAAAATTATTAACATACAATTAAAATAATGAATATATACAGTGTATATTATTCTTTACTTATTACATATTTAAGAATTAATTTCATAATATTTTTATTTATTTTTAAGAAGAACATGTATTCAAGCTTACAATTTTTAAGATATACGTTTTATATAATATTTTATTTATTAATACTATTTTATTTTTTATAGAATAAATTATTTAAATTAATTATAACAATACAAATGTAGATGAAAAACAAAAACAGACATTCCTCCACTCGGTTCAGCGCAATTTATTGGAGCAAATATGAAGTTTCAAATAAGTTATACACATTTAGAGATCATTCGAGGTAACAAATGAGCAGATTGATTATGAAATATCCTTGAATAAAATTCCAGTCCAGGGGAAACACACAATAAATTTCTATGGACAGATTAAATTATGTCAAACCATCAAAACCCAAAAAAAAAAAAAAAAGCTCTACATAGACTGTTCTTAAAAGTTAAGATTGCTGTCTTACAATGATCCTAGACGAATGATAAAATCTTGTGACAGTTTTATTTCTTCAATCTTTACCTTTTCACATTTTTCTCTGATGTGAAATTGGGGTATCACATGATTATAGCAATTTGTGTTATAAGAATCTGCTGTTAATACCTATCCCCGTTAGGCTGCATATCCAAAAAAAAAAAACAAAACAAAAATGAAAAGGAAAAAAAAATCCAGTGAGATATTTTTCTTTCCAAGCAATTCATAATTGAGACTGTAATAAATTGATACTCACATGATATGCAACGACTGATCTGCAGTAGTTGGTGTTTGTGAGGACTGTACTGGTGGATCCACACTCACTGTCTATAAGAGATACAGTTGATTTATCAAGCTTAATTGACCATGGATACTGATAATTTTGAGCTGTTGTGCCCACATGCGAAGACGAACGCTGCATTCTCATGGCTCTTGGAATGTTCCTTCCTTCAGTTGACATTCTTCTCCGGCTAGGCTGCCTTTCGAATGAATCCGGCCTTTGCTTTGGCGCACTCTGGGATCGAGCTTTAGCCCTCGAAGATTCTGTATTAGCCATGTAATTTGGGAACAAATAGGCCCCAGATTCTGCGTAGTCTGGCTTTGGGAATGAGAAAGGAAGTTTAGATTGATCAGGTTTGGAGATAGCAGAATAGAACTGGGGACTGCTCTGTGCTGTGGTGAAGCAGTAGTCCTCAAAATGGCCACTGAAGGTTCTTGGACTCATGTCAGTTATGGCTGATGGAGCTGGAGATAGCTGGTAATTTTCTTGTTTTGAATACACATGATTTGGTGTATAGTGAGGGGAGGAGAATCTATGCGCTGTTTTTTCAGTTCCTGAATTGTTTGAATACATATTTCTACTCTTCAAACTTGACTTTGCCTCACCAATATCCATTTCCACAATCTTAATGTTCTCCTCCATGCCTCTATTACTCTCCTACATATATATGTATATATAGGCACACAAATATAAGATTTCCCTTCATTCAATTCAATATTTAAGAAATAAGACACTGGTTCTGATCCTAATTCCCAATAATTTATGTTTTTGTATGAAATTGAAGAGCAGAAAAATTACCTGATGATATACGTGTCCATATCCGTTGATGTCCTGAATGGATTTTCTGTGGGTAGATTCTTCAACCATCCGGATCCTCTGAGCTCGTGCTCTGGTCTGTACTGTAACCAATGCTTGCATGCACCTCAGTGTAGCAGTAGCCTGTTTCCTCACCAGGTGACCTCTCACTAATGCCTGCAACTTCACCAGTCCTCTCAACGCACACAGTGCTTTTCTTGCCTGCAATTAACAGATGTTTGAATGGCATAGCTCGTTTAAGCGTGTGCAAATAATTCAACAAGTTAACACAGCGAGTGGTACCAGGTAAGCACGGAAGAACGATTGGATTTTGATGGCAGCAACCTCTTCAATTGCGCTGGTTCTGCCATTGGCAGCAGCCGTTAGTCGGATCACAGCAGCTGCAGCCTGTACGGCTGTCACTGCGGCTGCAGCTGTAGCTGCTGCAATGGCCATGGCGTGTTTCTTCTGCTCATGATCTTCGATATCCAATGCAGGCTGGACAACTGCCGCGGGAGGAGGAGTAGCAGGTGGTTTCCATGGATTTTGAGTCGTTGGGAGGTGTTGCTGAAGATCGGCGGAAGCTCCATCTCCTTTTCTCTTTAGGAGTTGAATTGGGATTATGAATCTGAATTGGAGACGAAGAAATCTGATTGTTTGCATTTGGCTTGTCCTTGTCTTTTTCTTTCCTCCCGGTCAAGAAAAGTCTAAACCATTTCCCCGTCTTTCCCATCTCTGAACTAGTCTTGGTATCATGAAGATGGGAGAAGAATCTTCCCCGAACCTTTGAAGACTTATTAGGAGATTATATCTCAGCTTCTTATTTCTTTCTTTTTTTTAATATATTTTGACAGCTCGATCTGACTGGTTCTGTATACTATTCCTTTATGCGTAGTAACTCCCAAATTAAGAAGGGGATTAAATTTTTCTCTTATGTCAAGTTTGCGGGATAAGGAGAAAAGAAAGAGAGAGGAAAGTTCCCACCATACACAGTTAAAATTAACTCAGCCAAGAAGTTTGTGATTTTCCCATATTGCTCTTTGGGAATGTAAGTAATAAAAATTTGAAGGGTATTTTGGGAAATTTGGTGATGGTATATGTGACATGGGGGAAGTTTCAGAAAGCACGTGGAAATGTTTCATCATTGTTGAAGGATGTAATTTTACATATTGAAAAAATAAGTTATCTGATATATACCAAGACTCTTGAAACAAGTCATCTCACCTTTGAATCTCTTTTATTATTTTTCTGAACCCATAAAAGAGTAACAAATGTGTGTGTACACCCCATGCAGGACATGGGTATCAAAATTCAGAAATGCAGAGGAAACTGAACGATTATTACGATAGTTTTGTTCATATATATACATATATATATATATATATAATAATATATGGTCATGTATGTTGACCCATTTTCTCCAACTGTAGGTCTTGGATCTCATCCAAGTTAAAACTGCTTCGTGGAATGTCTTTGAAAATACCCATTTAAAATCCCCAAAAACCATCATGACCCTTGCATTTGTAAGATTCAAATCGCTATTTTTATTTAATTTTTGTCTTCATTTGCAGTGCGTCTAACCGACATGTATGTGGAAGAAATTATTTTATAACTTAATGTACATAATCACCTTCAACTATATATATATATATATTATATAGCGCTGGCGGGTGGTGGTGTAAGAATGGGATTTGGGCCCATATTAAATATCACGGACCATTTGTTAATCATATAATGAGATAATTAATTAATTTTTTTTGGGTGCAAAGAATGAGATAACTAACTAGTTGGCAGTCACATGGTATGCCTCCATTTGCTGTGTGTTTGCTTCTGGGAAACAACGCAGTGGTTCTTCCTCTTTCATCCCTATTTACAGTCTTCTCATCATCATCTGGTCAAAAGGTTCCAAAAAAAAAAAAAACTAAAGAAAATAGCTAAAATATTTGAACTTACATAAATTACTATAAGTTTTCGAGCTTCTACTTTTTTTTTTTTAACTCTTTTAAATGAAAAACAGGTAAAAAAAGTTGAAAGAAATGACAAAATGCCAGATTATTAGGTAAAATTGAGTATCCTAAAACTACTATTTATAAATATATATTTTAAAAAATAGCAATTAGCTTGTAACCATAATTAATATTTCACTACCACTTAACCTACCTATAATACATTAAATCCCCAGTATGCCAATGAGCAAGTGGACATATGATTCTACAAGGAACATGGTTTATGCAATGAAATTATTAGTGCACAAGGTAGTAATTATACCTATATATATACACACACACACTTGTATTTATCAGACCACACTTTTAACCGCCCACAATGTAGGGATTATGAGTCACACACTAAATAGTAATCAAACTTCCTTTTAATATATATTCTTAACAATTAACATCTTCTGTAATAAATAGGCACTTAAATGTATAATCTTTCTAACTAACAATATATATCAAGAAAACTAAGAGGATAAATGATAAAATACTCCAAATTCATCAGAGAATGAGCAAAAAAATACCACTAGAGAGAAAATTTTATTTAGAGTTTTATAATCATCCGCTTAAATGAGGGTTTTGGAGAATGTAAGGTACTTATACCTCGGGTAGAAATGGTGCACACCCACACCATACCACTCTCTGCGTGGGTTTAATGAAAGATCGCATTTTGGACTCCCTTGCATTTTGAACTCATTCCTTTTTGCTCAATGTCTATTAAAATATTCCCTCAAGATAGAAAGTAAATGTTTTACTCTCATCTTGATCATATATTAATTAAGCAATCCACTATATAATGATTTTTTAAAGATATGTAAGTTGTTGGTTGCTATTAACCTTGTTTGTCATTACACTTCCATCTTGGATTCTTTCTTTAATCAAACGAAAATCTAATTTAATGTTTTCTCATGTGGAATACAAGTTGGTAGCTATGTGCATGGCTATTTTATTGTTATAATGCAACACTATTGCTTCTAGATGACTAATCTAAAGCTGTTCAAAACATATTTGCTCTAAAGTAGCTCCCAGCATACACTGGTGATCGCTTTATATTCAGACTCAACTAAGAATATAAAGACAATGTGATATTTTTATATTTTCAAGATACTATTGAATTTCCAAGCATAATATAATAGATTGTTATAGATTTTCTTGTGTATGGGCATCCTACATAGTTATTGTCAATATAAGTATTCAATTTTAACAGCTTTAGATTAGTCATCTAGAAGTAAGGCTTGAGTAAAACAAATCTTATCTCGAAGTTCCTTTAACATACCTTAGAACCTTATAGACATCATTTAAGTGTTGATTCCTAATACTTAAATGAATTGACTTAAAGTCTGAATTGAGTACGCCAAGTTTGGTCTAATGAGTGTTAAGTACATGAGTCTACCAATTAGCCTCTTGTACAACATTGGATCTATAATTGGTTCTCTTTCATCCTTGGATAATTTGGTATTTTGATCTAGTGGTAGTGTTGAAATTCTACCACCTGATATAGCTATATCATTTAACAAATCCAATACATACTTACTTCGGCACATGTGTATTTCTCTTCTTAACCTGACAGCTTCAATTCCAAAGAAGTACTTTAAATTTCTTAAATCCTTAATTTTGAATTCATTATTCTGCTTCATTTTCAATGCATTTATTTTATTTTCACCATCTCCTACCATAATTATATTATCAACATAAAAAAATAAAACTATAAAACTCTTACCACTTATTTCATAAAGAGACTGCAGTCGATATTGAATTAAGTACACAAAGGGATTGCATGATTGGTAATTTTATTCGTTTAGATCTCCATATAGGAAAGTACTATTAATGTCAAATGTCAAGCTTTTATTGCTACAAAGTTAAGAGTATTCGAACTGACACTATCTTCATCACTGGGTGAAAATGTCTCATAATAAGTTAAACATTCTCTTTGGGTTAAACATTTGACC